TGGGTGTTATTAGACTGGTAGAAGCTGAAGTTGACCACGTAGAACTACCAGCCGGCCTCCCTGATTGCTAGAAAACGATGTCGTTGGCTGTTTTACAGTAAAAATTCACTGTAAATTAGCTAACAAAATTGCAACACAACTAATTTTGCTTAAACTTTAGAAACTATGTTGTCAGTTTCCCTATTCATATGGACCTTAAGGCTTCTCTTTACGTCACATCTTCTCTTTAATTTATTGTTAATTTATTGTTATCTTACTGTTTACAAGTCATGCTAAGCACCATAACCACTACAGCGCATTCTAGTGGTCTTGGTGCAAAGAGGCTTCTTACTCTGTGCATCCAAACTGGAATGGAGTGATAGGCTAAGAACACAGAGGTAGGTTAGCCCAGCGTTCTCAGCCTATCACAGCCTTCCAGGTTGGAAGGAATGGATATTGTTAATTTCTGGATGGTAAAATAGCAGGGGCCAAGTGGCAGATGGCAGTAGCAAGGTGAGAGAAGGCTTGTGCTCAGATGTTTTTGGCCTACTATTGCATTTGATTTGACCTTCCCCTGTGCGCGCACTCTGTCTCTCTGTCTGTCTCTGTTTATGTTGTGGTTTTCCTGCACCCCCCACTTCCCAGCACTTCTCTTTTCTCATTTTTTTTTCCTCTTGAGAATTGTGGCAATATTCGTTTTTGCTGGGTCTGGATACTATTCTGTCTTTTTTTTTTTTAACTTACTTATTTTAAATCAAACAGTTTGTTTTTTTGATCTTCCCAGCCCTCAAACCCTCTCCCTTCCATCAGTTCCCTCTCTTAAGTGCCTCTCTGTCTGTCTCCTTGCCAGATTACATTTTTTGTTTCATCATCATCATCCCTCCTAGTTTTTCTTCTTCTTCTTCTTTTTTTTATTTTCTCCTCTTTTGGCCAAGCGACTTCTTCATATAAACCATCTCTTGTTTGAATTCCTCTCCAAATTTTCCTATCCCCCGTCCTGACAGCCTTACAGAATATCTTAGGTAAATAATTCTTTCACTGCATGAACTGACCCTGGTTGCCCCTTTCCTAATCCTGGCAGCCATGTGTCCTTTTCTCCTCCAAGTCAACTGTGTTGCGTCCATGAATATATTGACTTGGGGCCAACACTGTATGAGAGAATGCAATATCGAAACCACAGCAAAAATGCATTGCATCTTATAGATCGTAAACTCATTGAGCTGGGCCTGCTTCCCTTCTTGTCTGTTATATTCTCTGTGTGTAAATTACTTCTTGTCAAATATCCCCATGCTATAATTTTAAAGCGCCACAGACTGTGTTGGCGCTATATCAATAATAATAAAAATTATTCCATGAATTTATTGGTTATAAAAAAAACTTCCCTTTGGGTTAAAATACATTATAAACAGGGGGGCGGGGCCTGACAATCATGGCGACTGGTTGTGTCCTTTGTTAGCTCCTGGGGACAGGCTGAGCAAATCTACTTTTCTGACTGAGAGACCCATAACCGGGCATCAACCAACCTACTTTCAGCTAAGCTAAATGAAGAACCGACCTGGGAACGCTTCCAGCAGGCTTTCAGGGCACCCCAGAAGCCGAGCTTCAGTGAGGCCTAGCTGGTGCTGAGGAAGGGAGAGGCGGCTGATCTCCCAGACTGGTGCAGGCGAAGTGCTAAGCACGTTCCCGGTGCTCTGCTACCCCCCCTGGACCGGTGGGGGTGATCCCGGTGTCCCACCCTGACAGCTCTCAAGCACAGCGGAGGAGCCATGGCGGAATCGAAATTGTATGTGAGCAAAGTGGAATATCCTCTAAGATGGCGGACACCACGAGTAAACCGACTCCTGTGGGGGAAAGGTCCGTGACTGACCGCTTGGCAGCTATCTTCGATGCCTTCTGGAGGCGACTGGAGAGCAGACTGACAACCATTGAGCTCTACAAGGCACCACCTGAACCATCTTACTGCTCTCCAAGGCGCCCGCCAGCAAACACGAGCCCAACATACCTGAGGCGGAGACGGCCTAATCGGCACGCGGCGGCAAAAGCAGCCCACCAGCCAACTCCAAAGTAGCACAAATTCGGAGTCACCAGGAGGAAAGCAAACAAGGACGGAGAGATGAGAATAGGGCCACCGCTGACCGCAGATCTGCAGAGGTCACCCGCTATGTGGCTTATACTTCTCAAGGGAACAAGAGGCTGGGAGAGGAGGAAAAGAAGCGCGGCAGGCCTGTCTCAGCGAGTGCCACGGATGCTGCCTCAGATGCCAATTAGCCTCTCAGACCTGCCAACCTGTGCTGCACTGCGGGACTTTCGCTTGCCCCAGGAGGGAATCGGCTGAACAGGGACTGGTACTACTAAGGGGTAGCTCCTTACCACGTTCCCTGCATAAGTCGCTGTGAAGCCAGCAGCTCATTGCTATTTTGTTCTTCTCCTCTTATACTCTGCTTCTGTTGTTATCTTTTATCTTATCACTAATATACTTGTCAGCTGCAAGCATACACAGCGAATTGTTAGGCACCAGTCCGACCTATCTCAGTGGCTTCCCAGGTGGTTAGCTTGGGGGCATAAAGCAAAGGGAAGGTGGTTCCACTGCAGCTGTCTCAATACTATATATAATGCAATTCAGCCTTCCAACACCAGACACCCCACATTAACTTAATTCTCACCATGTCTATGACTTTGCATAGCTCAGTATTTCTCCCTCAATAATTATGCCAGACATGTAATGCTTAGCTTGTACTCTACACTATACTAAAAATTGTGCAGTATACTCAAATGCCATGTAACTAATATGTCTTGTTTAATCAATCTTTCTTGCCAGTGCTGTTGTGGCATTGGAAAAATGTCTGTTAATCTCATGCAAACAAAAAATAAAGAATAAAAAAAAAAAAATACATTGTAAACTCTGATGACACATGGTGTTTGTGATATGCATATTCCGCTCGCTTTCTTATACATATGTAGATGAGGTGATGATTTCTAATGGCACACCCTACATTTGTCACGGATCCAGTGGTACCATCCTTATTCATCAACTGAAACCGGTCTTCCCAGAATGGTCCTCCAATCTCCGGTTTCTCTGGGACATCAAAAGAAATAACTTAAAACTGTCCGATTCAGAACGTTTCTAAAGTGTATTTCGAAAAAAAGCAAATAAACAATCGGAATTCCAATTCTGAAAATGAGAAAAAAAAATAAAAAATTGCTACACGCATCCAAAGGAACTGGCCAAACAACGTCCGCTACAGAGTGTCCTTTTTGGTCAACCGCAATTTAGCTTAGCAGAAATATCGCCATCTGAGGTGGCCTGCTGGAGGGACCCACCCTTATGTGTGTCCTTGCCGGTGGGGGGCGGGGCCTGTGATTATGCTGGGTTCAATGGCGCTCATGGGCTCTAGATGCCGTTCTTTTACTTCTCTTGACCCACAATGGCAGCTTCCTGCTACAGGTGCTACGTTTGAGCCATTTTGTGGTGCCCTCTTTTACCTTTTTGAGCATTTGGATATTCCCTGCCTCAATGGGCTCCTTCGCTGGGTTATGGTTGTCACATAGGCTGGGTATCTGCTAGATTCATAACACCACATTGGGGGCTTTTGCATTCAGAGTATTATCAGTCATGTCCTAGGGGGGACTTTGTTCCTTAACAGGACACTATAATCACCAGAATCACTAGAGATGAATGTAGTGTTTCTGGTGCCTATAGTCTGTCCCTGCAGTCTTTGCACTGTAAACGCTGCCTTTTCTGTGGAAAGGCAGTGTTTACATTGCTGCCAAGTAACACCTCTAGTGGCTGTCACTCAAACCAAAATTTTTAATTATTATTTTTTTTTTTTTTTAATACAGGTGAACTCTATAGTGATGTAGTAGTTCTAGCAAGACATCACAAACCTGCGTTTGTTGCTTATTCTGCAATAAAAATCTACAAACGCAAAAAAGTGTTTTTTTTGTTTGGTTTTTTTTGGTGGGAGGGTAATTTGAATTGTTTAACCAAGCTTGAAGAGTGCAGTTCTTATTTTACATCAAATCGGAGAGTGTTCCTCTTAACCCCCAGGTTTTAGATATTAATTTCCACCCTGTATTTCTCCAGCGACACGTAATGTACTAATGGAGTAAGAAAAAATGTACATGCATGTATAATTTCCTGTTCGTGATTAAAACCATTTCTACCATTCCCACTCCTTCCTAAAACGGATGATTCATTTTTTTTTTAAATTCTGTTATTCCTTCTGTCGCCATATTTCCTTTTATTTAAAGCTCTGGGGACAGAGAGCAATTCCGACGCAGCTTCTTCCGCTCCACATACATGTATTTTACTACTCTCTCTTACGGTCTCCCATCCCTGGTCCCCTGGAGAATTTAAACGGAGCTCTATGAAAACCGCTACGCTACGACATTCCTGTTATTACAAGTGTGGTTTTTCTTTTCATAGAGTTCTATAAACTGCTGGCCTGGGAGCCGTGTGACCATCAAGACAGAGATGTTGGTCGGAGAACTTTTTTACTGTTTAAAAATTGATCTGTCTTGTTCCTGTTTTTACCATAATACATTTCTTTAGCAAAACTTGGCGACACGATTTACTAATTTATTTTGTATTTTTTTAAATTCTGTCTTGTTATTATGGAGGTAATGAAGGAACAGCTTTACCTTATATCCCCTCTTTCCAAAGTCTCCGAAAGGCTCACTGAAGTAATACCTGGATTCTAACGTATAATACTTTGTATTTTTTAACACAAATGTTTGTGGTAATTCACCAGTTGACTAATCTCTGACATGACATCACACATAAGAGGTTGCCAGATATTGTGGGGAAAAAGACACTACTTTACCTTATGTCCCTTCTTCACAAAGGCTGAGAGACTCCTGTGGTACCTAGATACTGGTATATAATGCTTTTGGTACTAAGCTATTTGTTAACCTTTACTGTTTGCTCCCCCTAAGTATGGTACATAGAAGAAACAGCCAGTTAGAATTTTGGCATTGAGGGAACACTTCAATTTGCATATTTTTTTATTTTATTTTATTCTTTAGTTCAAGAGGAGCAGTGGAGGGGGGAGAAAGAACAAAGAAATCTGTAACTGTCTGTAATCAATTAATTGTTACAACCACTGCCTTTGGAATATTTTTAAAAAGGTTATTAGGACTTTATCATGGTAAAAACAAACATGACTGATCTCATCTAGTATTAAAATGTCCGCATGTGTGCTGTGAAACCGTGATATACATTTATTCTAAGCTTAAATGATAAATACTGGGGGGCGGGGCCTGACCACCATGCTGACCGGTCGCATGCGGGAGAGGCTCTTGCAAAATCGGGCCATCTGGGCTGAAAACTATGGCACAAACTGCTCTTATCTCAGCCTAGAAGTACAACAAAGTGAGCAGGGAGCTGTGGGCACAACTGCAGACCCCAAGATCGGGAGCTTTGGAGACCCTGAGGGTTATACACAGCTTTGGAGCCTGCGGCCTAAGCGGGGTGGATGGCCGCCACCCTGCTCGATAATCTAGCAGCCTCACAGCAACCCTGTGACACTCCTCACAGGCCCCGTTTCTCCCCCACCCCCATGGCCTGGGGGGTTTATCCCAGTCCACAGTGGAGAGATCTGACGCCATCAGGAGCAGATCCCACGGACCTTGGCCTGCTCTCGGACACCCGCGCTTTCTAAACAAAATGGCTGCCTCACAGTCTGAACTAGAAAAGCTGACTACATGCAGACAGGAACCACAACACTGCTAAAGGCTGGCTGGAGCACCAACCCCTGGACTGTCTAGCCACACCAGCAGAGGAATGGCAGCCCAAGCCTTTGTGCCAGGCGATTGGGTCCGGCCCCACTGCTGCCCTCCTGGGCATTGAGACGTGAGAGGATGTTCCTCACATCGCAGCCCAACGCCTGGACGAATTACCCCAGCCAGGACCCCCGGATACAGGACCAGGCCTTAAACCGATGGAGCAGTATTTACCGAACTCTCCTACTTGCTGGAACCCTGCCATCGCTTCCTGCACACAAGTCAGCGGCGGGAGTGTGCCGAAGATCGTATACCGGAGGGGACTGTGTTCTGTCCTTGTCTGTAGCACCTAGGTTGACTTTTTGTTTCTCCCCACCTTTTCTCATCACTACACTTGCGCTGTATATTATATAGAGACAAACCGAGCAACGAGACTGTTCTAAAATGTCTGGAATCTTAATACCTCACCTACTGTGTTTACGCTACTCAGGCCTGTCGTGATTACATAGAATGTATGTCTTAGAAGCAAACACAAATAGGCATAAAAGTGGTGATGCATAGATGGTACTGTGAGGTTACGCTACAAAATAAGCGTGATCAAAATTTATACTTAAAGCACGTTAACCCTAAGAGTCATGAGACTAGCCAACTATATTGCTATTAACTGCTCTTCTGACTCCATTACTTATTTTTCAATAACAGAAAATGTGCATTATTTCTCATGTCACACAATTGTTAAGCTCTACCTGACGCTAAGCATGCACAAGTTGTTGTTGCTGTGCAACCCTGTATGTTTTACTTATGCACAAATAAAATAAAGAATTATAAAAATTATAAATACTGATAAGCTTGCAAGCTATAGTTGGCGGCTATCTCAGAGCAATCCAATGCTGTCTAAGCCTATCCTGATAATGTACAGTTACTAAGTCACCATACATTGAATACAGACCTAGCGCTGTCTGAGCCTGTCCTGATAACGTGCAGTCACCCAACATTGTATACAGATCCAGCACTGTCTGAGCCTGTCCTAAAAACGCAGTCACTACGTCACCATGCATTATATACAGACCCAAAGCTATTTGAGCCTGTCCTGATAACTTGCAGTCAACCAACATTGTATTCAGATCCAGCACGGTCTGAGCCTGTCCTGATAACACACAGTCACTGGGTCCCCCTACATGAGATACAGATCCAGCGTAGTTTAAGCCTGTCCTAAAAACGCAGTCACTGAGTCACCATACATTATATACAGACCCAAAGCTATCTGAGCCTGTCCTGATAACTTGCAGTCACCCAACATTGTATTCAGATCCAGCACGGTCTGAGCCTGTCCTGATAACACACAGTCACTGGGTCCCCCTACATGAGATACAGATCCAGCGTAGTTTAAGCCTGTCCTAAAAACGCAGTCACTGAGTCACCATACATTATATACAGACCCAAAGCTATCTGAGCCTGTCCTGATAACTTGCAGTCACCCAACATTGTATTCAGATCCAGCACGGTCTGAGCCTGTCCTGATAACACACAGTCACTGGGTCCCCCTACATGAGATACAGATCCAGTGTAGTTTAAGCCTGTCCTAAAAACGCAGTCACTGAGTCACCATACATTATATACAGACCCAAAGCTATCTGAGCCTGTCCTGATAATTTGCAGTTGCCCAACACTGTATACAGATCCAGCACGGTCTGAGCCTGTCCTGATAACACACAGTCACTGGGTCCCCCTACATGAGATACAGATCCAGTGTAGTTTAAGCCTGTCCTAAAAACGCAGTCACTGAGTCACCATACATTATATACAGACCCAAAGCTATCTGAGCCTGTCCTGATAACTTGCAGTCACCCAACATTGTATTCAGATCCAGCACGGTCTGAGCCTGTCCTGATAACACACAGTCACTGGGTCCCCCTACATGAGATACAGATCCAGCGTAGTTTAAGCCTGTCCTAAAAACGCAGTCACTAGGTCACCATACATTATATACAGACCCAAAGCTGTCTGAGCCTGTCCGGATACCATGCAAGTACAGGGTCACCCTATGTTAGAGAACCAGCTCTGTCTGAGATTAGATTTGTTTCTTAGTTTGGGAGTGTAAATCTACAGTACACAGATGGAGCCCAAATACTCTGACAATGCTCCATTTATTACAGAAGCTGCTCAAATCCTGTGTAAGAATAATTTTGGTAGTGTCCCCTTCATGAGAGTGCTTTTGATCTGTCCCTCTGTCTGCATCATGCTGTAGTTTTGAGTTAAACCTCAATATCCGTGCCAGAACAGCATGTTGGCTCAAAATCCAGTTTCCTCCAAAACAGATTCCTTAAGTTGTGCATTTTTTATCTTATAAAAAAAAAAATAATTATTACAGGCTGTAGTTTATGTAAAGTTAGCTTTTACCTTTTTTTTTATAATGAAAAAAGGACATTTGTAATCCAGAAAAATTGCTACTTCAGGTTTGTACAGTTACCTATACACTGTGCTGGAATAAAATAATCTATCCTCTCCATATCCCCTGCCATAAAACAACATGGTTTATAGAATTGAATAGCACTTGAAGCGTAGCTGAACTCCCCACCGTGACACTTGCATCATTCACAATAAATGACATTTGTGATATTTGGGGGTGACTATCGGCACCTGGAGCCACTCATAATTATTTCAGGTCTTGTCATCGTTTGTAGATTTTTCTGTGCCAATGAGTTGGTATACTAGGTAAAATAATGCAATGTCGGTTATCTCTTTGTTAGCTGTGTGACAAGCACATGGAACCCTTAATGTATCAGCTCCGAAGAAATGGGACGCTCATGATAATATCGCTTTTATAAAACAAATCTTTCCAAAGATCTCACAAAAAGCATTGCGATAAAACCAAAATTGGGCACCCATTGTGACAAAGCCAAACTTGGCCACACTCTGTTCGTGCATGTGGTTAGATCCAATCTCTGAGTTTGTATCACAATGACTATATGCTTACTGTAAACCATGAGGCCTTCAACCAATCTCGGCCATGTGGTATTCTCATATGATAGTCGACCACAATTCTGACAGTCACTTGATATATTTTATTTAGTGTATGTCATGTGAGCTGTGTTTTATTGGTTGCCAGCTTCATAAAAAAACTTGTGGCTGAGGAGATGAATCAAGGAACCTTTAATGATGGACGTAACCCATTATTTTTGTATTTTATATAGGTAATATGTTAAAAATATGCAGACAAAAAGGCAATTTGCCAGGGTCTGGCTTCCCCACGTTTTTTTGTTTTCATTTGTTAAGCTCTTTCTTGACAAGGAAGTGGCTTAACCAATCAGAGGTTTTTAATTTGATCCATACATTTTAGCTAAACAGGAGCTTATATGATATATTATTAATCACTTGGCAGTAATTCCAGTTTAGCTACCTCCTTTGATGTCAGAGCAGTCATCAGATACAATTAAATTTAACGTCTTGTTAAAAGAGCTGTTTGGGGAGACTTTTCCAACTATGCTAGTTTTTCTTATTTTGTTTTTTTTTTTTTGCTATATTTTTATGACTCTGCTAATCAGTGATGGCTAATCACTCTTTAATATGTAAATCCCCTCGTATTTGGACAGAACATTGGTTGGTTGAAGGACATCGTGGAACACTTTCAAATTGGACTTTGTCAGCCGGCACCTATATGATGTTAATAATGATAATAACAAGAAAAATATGTTATTGGTGTTTCTCAAAGGAAGCTTTAGAAAAAATACAATCCTATTACAAACCATAAACTCATTATCCTCAAATAGGTTTTCTGACACTTTAAAAAAATGTTTTTTTTTCAAAATACAGAAAAACATTAGCAAATGCCTTAAGCAATCCATTAAGGTCAATTTTAATGATCTTCACAAGAGTGTTAAAAGCAGGGTCCAATACGGTTTAGATTACATCCCATTAACACCATTTAAAAACATTTTAGAACGTGGCATTTTTTTTTTATTTTTAGTGAATTAAAATAAAATTAAAAATAATAATAGAGAATAAATAAGCCTGTTTAAACAAACATGTTACATATGGTTATTGCACTGCTAGGATAATTGCATTTTGTTTTAAATTTTTGTTTATTTTTAATACCATTAGTTTTGATCTATTTTATCCATTAATATTAAGGAAATGTGGGTCAGATAAGGAAGTTGGTGAAGTGGCCGACTCAATTTGAAAATAAAAAAGGTGATCATTGGTAATGAAATACTATTTTTTTTTTTTTTTCTCTAACTGTTCTTTAAAAAAAATTTAGAATTAGCTAAGTTTAACTAGTCTCTGAAATAATGGCTTTTTTTTTTTCTTCATATTTTATTAAACTTCCACACATCATGAAGTAACATATTTTTTTTTTTTTTTTTTGTCTGCATTTTTGTTAACCACTAACCAACAATA